GGTTCTAGGACTCCTGCTGCCACCAAAGGACCTTCCCGGAGTTGCTTTTCTGAGTAACAGGGAGACAGAAGGGACAAAATACTGGGAAGACGAGGAACGCGAGGGGGATTCCCCCCCCCGTGGATGGGCTCCGGACCAGCGGAGCCTGCTCCTCCTTTTTAACCAGGCAGGCGGCTATCAGAGAGAACAGCGCAGCGCGTGCCCGTGGGCTTGTGCAGCAGCCAAAGAACAGGAGGCGAGGATTCGGCTGCTGCACAAGCCCACATGGCGTGTGCTGAACTCTTCTCTCTTGACAGCAGACTGGTTAAAAAGAAGGATGAGGCTCTGCTGGTCCAAAGCCCATCCAGCAGTAGCAGTAGTTTCCCCCTTCCTCCACCCAGTCACCACCCCCTCCTTTGCTTAGGCTCCCTGCTGGGTTTGGGGACTTATGCCTCTCCTGATGTGCTTTGCAACCGCTTGAGCCCATACGGATCTCTTCATGGTGCTGGCTGGGCAACCTGGTTCTGGGGAATCCCCCACCCCAAAAAAGACCAGCTGCCCGTCTCTCCAGATCTTGCGGCTTTTCAGGATTTTCTTTTTAAAAAACGCCTCTCCGGGTGACCTTGAAAACCTGCGAGGTTGCTTTGGAAGGGGACAGATGGGCAGCATTTCCTCCCTCCCTGGGTGCCTGCAGCCTCGGAGCCTGCAGCCTTAAAGCCATCCTTTGCACAGTAAAGATAATCTTCTCACGAGCGAGAAAGGTTCTTAATTGCCTTTACTGTGCAAGTTGCTGCAGGGTCCGAGGCTGCAGGCACTCAGGGATGGGGTGGGGGGAATGCTGCCTGTCTTTGCCCTCCCAAAGCAACCTCGCAGGTTTTCAAGATTGTCTGTAGAGGCATTTTTAAAAAGAAAATGGTCTTCTTGGGAGGGGGAATGGGCTGCGCTCAGAGGAGCCGGCGCCCGGGGAGCCCTGAAGCAGTGCCAGCTAACATGTCCATAAGAAAAGCCCCAACAGCAAGTGCAGCAGCACCGCACCCACCTCTGCCCTGCCGGTCGCCCAGCAACGCATCCCCGCCACCTCCTTCTACTCAGCAGGTGGGCCAGGTAGGGGTGCACGCAGTGGCGAGTTCCACGATGTTGCCTTCAAGGTGAGCGGTGGGCACCACATGGCTGGGGCAGCAGGGCTCACCCGGCGCCCATCCAGCCACCACTCAGTGGGCAGGCTGGCAGGTGGGTGGAAGGTTGCCCTGGCGCGACCAAGGTGGCAAGTTGTGTGGAGGCCTGGCGGGCATGAAGGGCTCCTGTGTTCCCTGGCCAGGCTGGAGCATGGGACGGCCTCGCAACAGGCACGTCTGCCACTTGCGGAGCGAAGATGTGGCACTCGGAAGCGGCGGTGGGCTTGTTTTCCAGTCGTTCCTGGCCCTGCGAAGGTTCCAAAAGTGCCTGGGCTCTGGAACATCCTGTGCTGTGCCTGCTTCCGCTGCCGCCACCTCTGCTCCCAAACGTAACTGTCAGCTGTGAGCAGGTGCCTGAAGCTGCTGCTTGCAGTCATTTACGGCTGCAGATAGATTGCACCT